TTTATATATTTATATATTTATGTTTTAGTCATTTTATTATTTAAACTTATTTATTTTAGATAGTTACCAAGGCGACATTTCTAATTTGAGTGTTAAGCTTATATTTGTCATCTTATATCTAATTCAATTCAATTTAACTTTAATTTATTTTTATTTAAGTTTTATTTTAAGTAACTTAAACTTAGTTATATCAGTTAGATGACAAAGGCAACATTTCAGGATTTTTTTTTTATTTCTATTTCTCTTCATTTTTATTTCTGTTTTAGTAATTTTAGTTCTTCAAATTAAACATATTTCACTTGGATAGCTGCCAAGGCAACATTTCTATTTTTTTAGGTTTTATAAATGTATATTTTGTTTGTGTACAATATTTCTGTTTAGCATACATTTTTTTTTGTCATTTTTATACTTTAACTTAAGCATATTTCAGTTAAAAGGAATAGCAGAATTTAGTATTTTTTACATTTCTTATGTAATATTTATTGTTTTATTATTAAAATTTTATTTCAATTTTTGAAAACAATTTTTGATAGTTTTAGTTAACAATCGCACGTGTCGGAGGCTGTTTGTGTTCCTGCAGTTCTGTGGGGATTGTAAGATCCTGTCTATACTTGTACCAACATACAGTATGTATATATATTAGGAAACACACGGCGTAAGCGTAGGACAGGTCCAAACAGACGGCTAGCGTGTCAGAGATTCATTAATGTTGATCAGGGTCACAGTGTGGAATGAGGTGAGCAGGTCACGAGCGTAGAAAGTAAATGATTCAGAGTATGCCGTATATAAAGCACACTACACACTACAGGAGCTCTTCAACCAGGGATAGTTCACCCAAAAATGAAAACCTGAAGAAGATATTGGTATGGAAAAAATACTATGGAAATCCGTAGCTACCGTCAATTTTTGGGTGAACTATCCCTTAAATGTATAACATGCCCAAGGCCCTTGCTTTATGATGATGGATGTGGTTTCCAGGCCGGGTTGTCTGGTGTCTTTGGGTTAAACAGGGAAACAGTAATATCTCTCCTAGCACTAACTAATGCTGCATGTTTTGGGATTACTGAATTAGATGTTTACAGCAGATTCTTTTATTAGCGTTTCCAGGGCCAAAGCCGTACACTGACACATTCCAGGTTTTCCTCTGTAACGCCTCTCTCTGTCGTGTTTGTCCCAGAGACGGGGCGTTTTATGGACGGAAGGTGAGGCCGGCAGAAAGATGCATGTTTTCTGGCCAGACACTGCATGAAAACTTAATTTGTCACTCTACATGTCTGTACAAAATAAACTAGTGAAGCTAAATGGTGAAAACTCACACTTGAGATATTCACTTTCTGTTATACATTCATATAATATTTAACCTTGATGTGGATAAGTCCATTGTCCATTGCATCAGTTACCCATATGTGACCCTGGAGCACAAAAGCAGTCTTAAGTCGCTGGGGTATATTTGTAGCAATAGCCAACAATACATTGTATGGGTCAAAATGATCCATTTTTCTTTTAGGCCAAAAATCATTAGGATTTTAAGTAAAGATCATGTTCCATGAAGATATTTTGTAAATTTCCTACCGTAAATATATTAAAACTTAATTTTTGATTAGTGATATGCATTGCTAAGGACTTCATTTGGACAACTTTATAGATGATTTTCTCAATATTTTGATTTTTTTTGCACCCTCAGATTCCAGATTTTCAAATAGTTGTATCTCGGCCAAATATTGTCCTATCATAACAAACCACACATCAATGGAAAGCTTATTTATTCAGCTTTCAGATCATGTATAAATCTCAATTTCAAAAAATTGACACTTATGACTGGTTTTGTGCTCCAGGGTCACATATATACTAAGATATGAGGTCAGTTTGTTTTTGAAATATTTTTGAATCTCTTCTGCTCAGCAAGGCTGCGTTTATTTGATCAGAAGTAAAACAGTAATATTGTGAAATATTATTATCCGCTTTTACAAGCTATTTAAAAGCGAAGGAAAGCAAGGAAAAGAGGGAACGCCCCGCCCCACGCGGTGATACCGGTATTACCGATGTTGTCACATGTCGATTAACCGGTGGGAAAATTTCCTCACCGTCACAACCCTATTATAAAGTAACTGTTTTCTATGTGAATATATAATCAAATGTAATTGATGCGCAGCTGTATTTTCAGCATCATTACTCCAGTCTTCAGTGTCACATGATCTTCAGAAATCATTCTAATATGCTGATTTGCTGCTCAAGAAACATTTCTGATTATTATTAATGTTGAAGACAGTTGTGCTGCACAATATTTTTGTGGGAACCTTGATGCATTTTATTTTTCAGGATTCACAGCTGAATAGAAATTTAAAAGAACAACATGTATTTTGAAATAGAAATGTTTTGTAACAAATATCTTTACTGTCACTTTTTCTGAGAAATAAGTTGCACTTGAGAGTATAAGCCGCACCACATCAAATTGCATCGTTCAAAGAAAACAAAAACACTGTGTGTGTGTGTGTGTGTGTGTGTGTGTGTGTGAGAGAGTGTGTGAGAGTGTGTGTGTGTGTGTGTGTGAGAGTGAGTGAGTGAGTGTGTGTTTGTGCGTGAGAGTGAGCGAGTGTGTGTGCGAGTGAGTGAGTGAGCGAGCGAGTGTGTGTGTGTGAGAGTGAGTGAGCGAGTGTGTGTGAGAGTGAGTGAGTGAGTGTGTGTGTGTGAGAGTGAGCGAGTGTGTGCGAGTGAGTGAGCGAGTGTGTGTGTGTGTGTGTGTGAGAGTGAGCGAGTGTGTGTGTGAGAGTGAGCGAGCGAGCGAGTGTGTGTGTGTGAGAGAGAGTGAGCGTGTGTGCGTGTGCGAGTGAGTGTTTGTGTGCGAGAGAGAGAGTGAGTGTGTGCGTGTTTGTGTGAGAGAGTGAGTTAGTGTGTGCATGTGAGAGAGAGAGAGAGTGTGTGTGTGTGAGTGAGCGAGTGTGTGTGTGTGTG